TGTCAGTTTTCCCTGCAGAAAAGGAAAACTTTTTGAAGAAAAAACGTATAGAAAATGAAGTAAACCGATGAAAATTACTTTCCTAAGGATATCCTTACGGAAGCGGAAGAAGCAGCGATGCAAATTTTGCCAGAAAAGTCCCAAGATGCTTACACTGAAAAAACAAATCTGTTTTATCAACCAATAAATTTTTGTTGCAATTGTTCTTGTTGGTCCTAATAAAAAATTTGTTAACCCCAGTAAAGTGTTTAATACATTAGTATTTGCAACAAAAATTAATTTGTTGGAAAGAATTAGTTTACCCTACTGGCAATATGCGTCGCCGCTAATAGGTATCCTTAAGTAAACATAACAAATATATTTTTGTTGTCAATTTTCGCCCAAAATTGACATGACGTGACATTTAAATTTATTTTATAAAGTTGACCGACTTGGTGCCATGGTTAAAGTTAAGTCTTGGTGTCATAGTGATTGAATAATAAAAAAATAATTTGTCACTGTTAAAAAATTTTTGTGCAAATGCTAGAGGAAGCAGGTTCGCGTTAATTAATTTTTGTGCATTGGGCGTTATGGATAAAGGAGTAAACCAAATATTTTCTTCATTAGAAAATACTTTTAAAGGTACCAAAATAATTTTTGTTAAAAAAAAATCAAACAATATTAACCTATACCTACACAATATTGTTTTTGCAACTCTTTTTATTAATTAGTATTACATACTGAAAGAGGTGCTTTAACAATATTGTGTAGGCATAGGTTAATATTGTTTAAGTTCTTTTAACAAAAATATTTTTTGGTGATTAAAAGAACTACCAAATGTTATAACAACAAAGCAACAATGTTGTAGTTAATCATTACCATAGCTTTTCCAACAAATTATTTTGGTTTAACAAATAGATTTATAATGAAAACAAATGCAAAAAGTTATAGAAACAAATAAATTATTACCTAAAACAAATGTAAACTGTTTTAACAACAAAATATTATTGTATGAGATATCAATAATATTAGTTACTTTAAACAAGACGACATAGTTTTGTCAACAAAAAATTAGTTACAGTAACATATTATGTCTCAACAAAAAAAAATTGTTGTTGTAACAAAGATTTTAGTTGAGGCTATAGCTACAAATAAAATTTGTTGGCGCAACTTTTTTTTAGTTGCTTAAACAAATTATTTTTTTCAGTGTACGACAAAGAGTTCAAAATGTTTGAGTCTTGGATGAATTCACGGAAGATAAAAGGTATCGATGAAAATGTTCTATTGGCTTATTTTTTACATTTGCAAAAAAAAATTAGCCCCATCGTCGCTATGGACCAAATACTCGACTATTCACCTTTATAGAAAAATCGACATTTCAAAATATGGCAAACTAACGAGCTTTTTGAAAAGCACACCACAGGGATACAAACCAAAGAAGTCCAAGACATTAGAACGACCTGAAATACAGAAGTTTTTGAACAAAGCTCCCGACGACGAACTTTTTTTTAGTTGCTTTAACAAATTATTTTTTTCACTGTACGACAAAGAGTTCAAAATGTTTGAGTCTTGGATGAATTCACGGAAGATAAAAGGTATCGATGAAAATGTTCTATTGGCTTATTTTTTACATTTGCAAAAAAAAATTAGCCCCATCGTCGCTATGGACCAAATACTCGACTATTCACCTTTATAGAAAAATCGACATTTCAAAATGAGGCAAACTAACGAGCTTTTTAAAAAGCACACCACAGGGATACAAACCAAAGAAGTCCAAGACATTAGAACGACCTGAAATACAGAAGTTTTTGAACAAAGCTCCCGACGACGTGTACCTGTTGATGGCTTTGATAATGGGGATTAGTGGTGCTTGTAGATGCGATAAATTGGTCAATTGGAAAATAGAAAATATTCAAAGACTAAAACCATGAAATTGAAAAGTTTCACTATACTTGAAGAAGGATTTCCAGTCAACCCGATCAATTTGTGTAAAAAATACATGTCTTTGATACCAAAGAATACTAGTTCTAGCCTCTTTTTTGTTTTTTACCAGCTAGTGTGTGGAAATAAATACGTTGTCGAAGATACCTTCAAGAATTGCAATGTTCTTGAAATTGGAGGAACCAGCGCTCTACACAGGTCCTGAGAAGGTCTTCGGCGACTCTTTTGGCCAATGCAGGGGCTAACATGACTACTTTGAAGCTTCACGGAGGATGGAAGTCCTCGACGGTAGCAGAAGGATACCTAGAAGAATCGGTGCATAACAAAATACAAATTGCACAAAAAATACAAGGTTCTAATGCGTCGGCGTTTTCCAGCACTATCAGCAGCTGTACCGATATGGGAGCGTCTGGTTCCAATGAACCAACGAATTTTACAATGACTTCAAATTCGAATAATCCGTTAGCGTTTTCCTTTAATTTCAATATCAATGTGAATTCTGCTTGTAATGGTAATAAATAAATAGAATACTACTTTAAATATGAACGTGAGTTATAATCCATAACTCACTAGTGAGTTATGGATTATAACACACTATTGTGTTATTTAATAGTTTACTTGTCTAAAATGACATTAATAATGACAGTCATAACTGTCATGTGTTGAATATAAAATTTAAAACCAGGGGAGTGAAACTCATATAGAAATATGCGCAACAAGCGCCTCCCGAGCAATGTTGCCATATTTTCTTTTTGTGGCTTAAGTCATCTTTTTTTATAATTATTTTAATTGTAGTATGACTTCTGACAACAATAGAAAGAATATCGACAAAGGTAAAGATCTAAACTTTTAAGTATTTTTTTTAGTTTTTCCATCTGTATTTTATTCCCTTGAAGTTACAGTAAGTATACACAATAAATCAGTTATTACTTTTATAATGTTTCCTTTAGAGATTAAAATACCTATAAAATAATTAATTTGTATTTCATTTATTAAGATTGGTTTTTTTGCAAAAACCCATACTACTTAATAATATTGGGACATTTGTTTTAATAAAATAATTAATTTGTATTTCATTTATTAAGATTGTTTTTTTTTGCAAAAACCCATACTACTTAATAATATTGGGACATTTGTTTTAATAGGGACACTATTATTCAGTTTGTAAGTAATTTCCAACGAACTGATGTCCCTGGTGGTTTTTTTTTTAAGATGTCGGTATGTTTTTTTTGGACCGAAACCGATGCAGGAGGGAAGTTTTATACCTTCTTTCACTTCTGAGCCCATTCAAAATACAGATGCACTTTTCGTATATTCTTAAATTTATTTTATTGTTAAAATTAGTGTATTATAACCATTTTCTTATTTAAAATAAATAAATCTTTGCAATTATTTTATTTTATTTATTAAATTTAAATAAATTAATATTATAATTATTAATATATACAAAATAGATCAAGCCGGCCCTGTAGTATAAAAGGTAATAAAATATTTGGAAAACGGCCCTAGTTGGCAGGCATTTATGACGTTCCTGTTGCTTAAGTTTAATACGGTGGTCGCCCTTATATTATTTTTCTAAAACGACTTGTTTGACATTTTTAAAACGGTTTTAAAAAAACTATTAAAAAACAACTGCGTTTATTTGTTTTTGAATATTTACTAAAAGCGCAGTTTTAACATTTAAAGTTTAATTTATCAAAATATGTTTTTTTTATTTAATTGTTTAACAGGAATGTTTATTGTCCTATATAAATGATAATTATTATTTTTAATGACTTTAATGCCGATGTGCATATTAAATTTTATCTGAAATCACATTTAATAATACTAATAATTAATATTGATGATCAAATCAAATGTCATTTGATGATCAAAACAAATGTTATTTGAATGTAGGAAGTGTCTACGTATACCACAGACCACAGACGTATACTGTTTGTTGCGACGTTTATGATATATTTGCCCGCCGCGGCGATTTTTTAATCTAATTAATAAAATTAACTTCTTATTTTTTTTATTAAACAACATTTTATGAACGGGTCCAATCGACCTCCGCGACGGTGCTTTTTTTAAATATTATTTAGTTGCTGCTGAGTAGCATCTTAAAATGTATAATGGGTTGCATTGCTCTCCATTAAATCGGCAGAAAGTTCTACTTTACTGCCGATTGTTGACTACTTTACTGCCGATTTCGGATAATAGTTATGTATGTCATTAGGTTAAGAAGTAAGGCTTTTTGTGCTAAGCTCAAAGTTTGAAGGCCGACGCGTAGCGGAGGCCTACAATTGAGCGAAGCACAAAAAGACACTTCTTGGCCGAATGGAATACAACATTTTATCTTCAAAGCACTTTATATAGGTCAATTTAATTCAACATGAAAGCGGCCTAACCTCACATTTTTAGAATCTCATTTATTTATTAGCTAAAGATTACATTAAATGTACAATAATTATTATTCCTTTTAGAAGCAGTAATAGTTTGACAATACCTAGCTACATGATTTAAGTAGAAATGGATTTTTGTAAGAAAATGGTTTACTTACCCTCTTGCTATTACATTGAATTCAATTAATTGTTTAATAAATAGGTATCTAATTTCAATTTGTTTGCATTTTTATTAAAAAAAATAGGTAGTTTGGAATGTTTACGCTGTGTATAACATTTAATTTCACTAAAAACTTAAAGCAAATTAAAACTTAAAGATAATTTAAATCGTAGAAAAAGAAAACACAACTGTGAAATCCACAGAAACGTCAAATTGCAATGTCCTAACCTCACTTTTTGTTTTATTATTCATATTTAATTTTACAATAATTTAATGAAAAATAATAAACATTAACAGTAAAACAAACAAATTAGTGCTTATTATAAATAAATTAAACCAGTTTAGTACGTTAATTTCTTAGAAAATGATTAATTTGTCAAAACAATACCCCTAGCGAGGAAAAATCAAACTAATTACTTGCCTCATAAAATTTTTTATCGGCCTAGGCCATAACAAGTTATTTCTTTATCGAATGTTGACAACAATAAAGTTTAAATTATAGACCGCGTAAATATAATAAATAAAAATAATCTTACCTTAAAGCAAACCATCAAGGAAAATGGCATAGTAAGAACGACGACAATCCATGACAAGACGATTAAAATTTTTCCGCATGTCTTGGATTCGTCTTCGACTTGTTCCGCTGCAAATAAAAAAATAAATAAGAAAATCTACCTCATGAAATTGTCAGTTGGCATTTTGATGTATACACTATTTAATGCAATTAATTACTTTTAATAACATAAATAAATATTTAATTTCACTTAATTTCCGGTAATATAATACCGGAAATTAAGTCAAATTAAATAATTATTAATTAATTAATTAATATAAACGTATACGTTTTAAATCTTTTAATTTATAAAGAATGTTTTAACCAATACAAATTTAAAGTTAAATAATTATTAATTAATTAATTAATATAAACGTATACGTTTTAAATCTTTTAATTGATAAAGAATTTTTTAACCAATACAAATTTAAAGTTAAAACAATGAATACCCATTTGATATATTTTTAAGAAAAATGTATTATTTAATTTGTGGGTCATTTTAAAATTCAATAAAAAAATATGCTTTAACATTTCAAATAATTGAGGTTATATGTATATCTGTTTAATGCTTATTTTCTTAAAATAATACAGTATATTTTTTTGTATTATAGTACATTATAGACCAGGCGGATAAAGCACATATTATCGCCGAGCACACGGAGAGAAAAATTTTGCTAAAATAACTATCCAAAGTATTGTTAAATGACGTATCGTGAATTTAGTCAACTGTTTTATTAAACTGAGGATTTGTATGGCTAAATTGGCTATACAGATCCTCAGTTTAATAAAACAGTTGACTAAATTCACTATACGTCATTTAACAATACTTTGGATAGTTATTTTGGCAAAATTTTTCTCTCCGTGCATACATTTTATTGACGAGGCGACACCGAGGAGGCAATTAATAAGCTTTCGCCGCTGAGTTTTATATACTGTTTTTTTTTCAAGCATTTAAATTTTAAAAAATTTAATTTTCTGTCACATCATTTTTAGGTTAGGTTTAACTGACATGATGACATTTTAGCTTTATTTCTGTACGGGTTTAATATAAAAATGATTGTACGCTTGAAAAAAAAAGGTATTAATTTATAACAAAAAATATTTATATATTTTATTATATTCATAAAGTAGCGTTAAACTTACAGATATATAACCTCAATTATTTGTATTCAAATGTCAAGATTTGTAATAATAAAAAAACAATTACAAACCAATTATAAATAAAATAAAAAATATATAAAAATGAATTATTTTTTTCATAATTACATCATTTTGTAATTTGCGGGTGGCATGAAAAAAAACGAATGTGTACCAATTGTTATAATTTTGACATATAACATTTTAAGGTATACGTTCCATTTATAAATGATAATTAGTTTGTAAGTAAAAGAGTTAAGGGATAAGTCAATGTTCCTCACTACTATTTCTATTATTATCTAAATATAAAATAATTTTACATAATTGTTATAGTCTAGCAAAAATCCTTTTAATAATGTATTTCCCTATTTGTATGCACACATATTCTGCTGAACATCAAGAGACCCTTCTGTTACGCTGTCGGCGTTTACTAATATCCTTTCTATTATAAATGTACAGTCCATAGAATATGCATTATAAAAGCCTAATAACAATACTGAAATCGTTGTTTGTCAAGTTTGATTTATTACAAAAAATATTTATAAAGAACTTTAAATTAAGTTATGTGTACCTTATTTACAATCAACTTACAAATACTGAACAATACGATGATTAATTGTGAAAGTATCAAGTTCAATTTATACTCTAAAAGTACCAAGGAAAATTTGTAATGATTCTCAGGAGGCACGTCTAATTTAAAATTGAATGAGCTTTTGTATTGTCTGCATGTTTAGAATAAATTTCGTGATTATAATACCAAGAACAACAAGCTTGTCACAGCTTGTCAATGTGTATTTACAAGATCACTTAGCTTCATGATAACATAATATTATACGATAAAAGAAAGAAAGAAAATTTGTAATGATTCTCAGGAGGCACGTCTAATTTAAAATTGAATGAGCTTTTGTATTGTCTGCATGTTTAGAATAAATTTCGTGATTATAATACCAAGAACAACAAGCTTGTCACAGCTTGTCAATGTGTATTTACAAGATCACTTAGCTTCATGATAACATAATATTATACGATAAAAGATAAGTGTTATAAACATAGGAGTAGAAAATAGTATATTGTTTATCAAGTTTGATAAACGACATTGTTTTCATGAATAGGTACGAGCAAAGCTTGTGAGTGAGTTTTTAATTAATATAGAAAAGTTTATAAACAAGTTGCATACTATGCTTTTTCTATAACAAATGTTATTACAAAAAAACAGTTTATTACTAATTAATTTAAATATTTTTATAGAGCAACATCTATGTGTTAGGAATCTTTTTTACCGACTTTTAAAATGTCAGTGTCAGTTTGTTAAATTTTCTGTAAAAATCTAAATTTCTCCCTTAAAACGGAATAACAACCGTAAATTTGAAACAGAACCAGTTTTTTACAATTAAAGTGAAGAGAGTGTTTTTATAAGTACAACACCCGAAATCATTAATGTTTTGTCGGCAAATACTAGTTTGTTGACGGCGAAATCAAATGTGCATTAAAATTTTTAAAGATTAACTATTAAAAACTATTGTATATATTATATTATATATAAATATTTATGTAAGATCTAAGTTAATTTTTTGGTATAGGTAATTATGTTTTTTTGGGAATTTTTTATGAAAAATAAAATTTTATTCGAAATATAGAATCCAAATCAATAAAAAACAATAGTTAATCGAAATAACAATAGACAAAAATTTAAATTTAAAATTTTTCCCAGTCTATTAAATAAAAAATTCAAATAGATATTTTTATTAAAACTAAATTAGTACAAACGTAATTTTAATATCTAGATTTCTTCACTCCAAGGTAAAGTTACTTCATTGATAATAACTTTTAAATCTCAAAAAAATTATTATTCAATATTTTCAGAAAAGACATAATTATACTTATAGTTAACTTAGATCGTCTTGAGGCACGTGTTATTTTTAATTAAAAGGAAAATCCTAGTGTTTTTTCATCAAAACGAAGCATTTTAGGGGGCGTCGCAAAAACATTAATTTTTAACGACCACCCTAATATATACATATATATATATATATATATATATATATATTAGGGTGGTCCTTATTTAGGGTGTGTTCGAATTTTTCTTCACGATAGTCCTAAATAGGTTCCAAATATATAAAAAAATAATGTGCCAAATTGCAGCTCTTAATTTTAAAATTAAGCCGGCCCCCCCGACAGCCAAAGTTTTAAATGGAAATAACATGGGAAAAGTTCTGTTATTACTTTGGATTTTTTTGAGTCATGAACTAATAAACGGATTATATAGAAGTATATATATTCTTGTAACAAATTTAACGCTCTACAAAAAAGGTTTCTTGTGATTTTTTGCTAACTGAACTGGTTCAAAAGTTATTCGAGGTCAAAATGGAAGTTCTAGTCAATTAGTCAATTAATTATGTTTTTATCCATTTTCAACGTGGTTTAATGATTCAAAAATGTAAAAAGGGTTATAATTTATATTTTAGATGGTTCTATTTTTTAGAAAACTTTCAGGGTAATCGTGACCCTAAAAAGTTAGTTACACCAATTGTTTTTTTTATTTTTGCACTGTCGTAACTTTTAAGGATTTTTTAAATTTTGGGATACGCAAGATATTTTGGACATAGGTATTGTTAAAAGATTTTGATTTTAATTGGTAAAAATTTTGATAAACTCTAGTTTTAAATTCAAACTTCTTAATAAAAACATTGCTGTGGCTCCCGTCCCGAGGCGGGACTTAAGTTTAGTCCCGAGTGACGTCATAATTTTAAGATTTTTTATGTTACTATAAAACTAAAGCAAACCAACCAACCCAACCCAACACTTTTTAACAAAGAAACAACAAATTTATAAAATAAAAAAAATAAAAAAAGTTCGACAACTTCTAGTAGTATCGAACCCGGTACCTCTAGCATGCCAAGCGACCGCCTTACCATCTGGTATTTTTTTTAATCTATTGAAATTTTAATAATATTTAAACAATAAATATTTTTCTTTTTAGAGCAAACGTCAAGATAAGAAAAGTCATCTAGAATATAAATTATAACCCTTTTTACATTTTTGAATCATCAAACCACAATAAAAATGGAAAAACCATGGAATTGACTAGAACTTTGATTTTGACCTCAAATAAATTTGAACCAGTCAATTTAGCAAAAAATCACAAGAAACCTGTTTTGTAGAGCGTTATATTTGTTACAAGAATATTTATCCTTCTATATAATCCGTTTATTAGTTCATGACTTAAAAAAATCCAAAGTAATAACAGAACTTTTCCCATGTTATTTCCATTTAAAACTTTGGCTGTCGGGGGGGGCGGCTTAATTTTAAAATTAAGAGCTGCAATTTGGCACATTTCCCTACACTAAGAACTTTTTTAAAATTATTATGATTTCTCACTCATAATGAAAATGAAAACAACACATAAATTCATAAAAAAACAACAAAACTTTAATCGGAATATACAGGAGGTTATGTAACATATTTCAAATTTCGCTTCAAAAAAATAGATATATAATCTTCATTTATATTTTTTTGCTATATGACAGAAATGTTGAAAAATTGCAAAATCCACGTTACAATTTTCTTATTGTTTTTTTATGAATTTATCTGTTGTTTTTATATTCATTATAAGTGAGAAATCAATAATTTTAAAAAACTTCTTAGTGTAGGGAAATATAATGATAATAAATAGAAAAAATCAATCTAAATAACATTATGAGTTGGTAATTATCAATTTCTTACGTTTTCAGTTATAAAATGGCTGTAAATTCATTAAATATTGGTTGGATAACTTTTTTTTATCATTCAGCCCTTTTTTCTCCCTACTTTTTGCGGTTTGTTAGAAAAAATTTAAAAATTTTTTTTTTTCAAAAACTGTCCTTTGACGACTCCTACTGGTGAACCAATGCGAGTTACAAAAAAAACTCAAAAGCAATTTTAAAGAGCGTGAAATTCCCCATAAGGTGTATTAA